GGGGGGTTGGGGAGGTGGGATAGAAAGGGCCAGGGTCCGGGTTACCACTTGCAGCCCCAGCCAGCTCCAACTTGCTCTCTCACCTGGTCCAGGCCACTTCCACCCCGCCCTCAACCTCTGGGCAATTTCATCTCCTTCCATGCACTCCCTGTGGCCTCCCAGTTGGCAATGAGGGCACTGCCCAATCCTCTCCTCCTCCCTCAAACCTAGACTGAGGAGGTGCCCTAGCAAAAGCCTCATCGCCAGGCGGACAGGATTTGGGGTTGAAACAGAAGGCGTCCCAGGTTCTCCCTTTCCCCCAACTCACCGCCCGCGAGGCCGCTGCAACTGAGTGGGATAGGCCCGGGGAGGGAGCCCCGAACAGCTGGTTGCAGAGTCACTGCTCGCCACTAAGCAAGTGGCTCTCAGAGTGTCTGAGGGCAGGCCCTTCCCTCCTGGCGCCGCGGCCCCCTCCCACTTCCCTGATGGAACAGCCCAGCCCTTTCCCGTGCCGAGCTGGACTCCCCAGGCCTCCTCCCCCACTCTGATTGTCTTTCCTAACACCACTGCTTTCTCTCTTCAGCACCCTCAAGGAAGAATGCAGACCACTGGAGAGGTGCGAGGGGGTGGGGTGGGTCCCCTGGAGTGGCAAGTGTCAAAACGGGTGGAACGCTTGGATGTGGGGAGACTGAGGGAGGGCTGGAGTGAAGGAAGGCTGGCTAGAATGTAAGGAAGAACATGTGTCAGATGGGGCTGGGATCGAGGTCAGGATGGGGGCACCCTCATTCCTCTATCCTCCTGCCTGGACAGTGGCAGCTTTAGCCCTGTCTGAATTGTCCAAGCTCCTTCAGTCTTCAGTTCCATGGGAGGGGATAAGTCTGTGTGTAGCTTTGTGGAGCCATAGCTTTGCACTCCCGGACACAGTCTGAGAACCAAAGGGCTCCTGCCTCTGAAGCAAATGTGCCCGAGAGTGTGCATGGTGGAGGGAGGAGAACCAAAGGGCTCCTGCCTCTGAAGCAAATGTGTGCATGGTGGAGGGAAGTGATAGTATGCGGGCTGACCTCTGAGATACTGCTGGGTCTCTTGTGCAGGCACAAAATGGGCTGGGGTGTGCAAATCTCCATGGAAAGCCCCCTTGCCAAGACCCCACTAGTGAGTCTCTGTAGCCCAGAAGAAAAAGGGGACAGTGGGACCACAGCATCTATCCCTGGAGTATGGGTTTAAGGTAGGGTCTTTCGGCTCCAGAGGAAGTGCTCTGCCCTGAGATTAGAGAAGCACCAGGAACCAGGCCTCTGAGATTCCTTCCTGCCACTGGCTGGGCTCTGACCTTGTATGCCATGACATTGCCAGTCCCCAGCCCTCAGCATCCCACTTCCAGATTCAGTGAGGCTGCAGTGCCTCCTCCTCCCTTGGTGTCAGCTCCCCAACTTCCCATTCAGGTCCCTTTCTGCCCCTGGCCCCTGGCTGATGCCTTAGCCTTTAGCTTTGGCTAAAATTCGACCACTTTATTGATTCCTGGGATACAAAATCAGTCTGGGCGCAGGCTCGATGATCCTCAAAGAAAGTCTTGGCTAGCTGCCTCAAATACAGGAGGCGGCTTAGACACTTCCTCAATTCTTGCCATTATTATACCGGCCATGTGGCCCAGTCCAGGCTTCAGGTTCTTCAGGCAGCACTTCTTCCGAAGCTACTTGTGTGGGTTGCGTTGCCAGCTCCTGCTCATGCCCTTAGGTGGCGTGAATAAGGCAGCTTCTCTTGGTATTGTCATGAAGTTGTTACTTCCGATCTGTACGAATTGGCTGTCATAGACGGTAACAGGCCCTTTAAGAGAAACAGTGGTGGTTGTGGGAGGGTTAAATCATCAGCAGCTCAAGTTAGAAAGAGCAGCAGGGTGGAGGGGCAGCGGCACCTTGTGTTCACCCTGAGGAAATGCAAAGATAGGGTCTCAGGGTCTCCCAGTGAAGGTGTCCGATGTGCCTTTGGTCTTCTGCAGGCTGCTCCTTCAGAACTGGGTGTGCAGAAGCTCAAGAGGGATGGCAACTGATGCCTCTGACCCTGATATTGGGTCTTTTCTTCTGGGAGGCTCTCTGGACTGACATAGCAACAATAAAATTTCGGGGTTCACAGGCCTGGTGTTGGGGAGCCAGAAGGCCCATGGGCAAATTTAGGTTTTGCTGTAATCTCAGTGAGATCCAATCCCAGTGGGTATTAGTTTCTTTATTTATGAAATGAGAAGGTTGGGATAGACGGCCTCTAGCCCTTTCTCTCCCTCTTCCTCCCCAAGGTACCCTGGATCTATACATGGTCTTGAGGATGAAGCTGGTGAAGGAATTGAGCAGGGGACGAGAAGGAGTGGGGAGTGGTTACCTGGTACTGGATTTGGCCTTGGCTTCCTGGAGGGCTCGGTGGTGCCACGTCTCTCAGCCCCCTGTGAATAGCACAGTACTCTCAGGCTCCCTGTCCTGGGGCCTGGCTACGGTGTACCCTTTTGGCCCCAAGTTTTCCCTAGCAAAGGATAGGATTTGCATCCTGTAGTTTTGCCAAAGTCTCACCTGATTCCTTTGGGGTCCAGGACCTGGCGTCCATGCTGAGGTGGGGTTGGGCATCTGGTTTCTGAAAGGTGAGGTCTCCGGAATAAAGGTAGGTTGGGCTTTTGAATCAGAAGACATCCCTGCTGTCTGAGCATGCTGAACCTGCTCCCCTTGTGCCTCCATCCTCTTGGGAAGGTTTGTACCTTTTTCAGGAACAGAGCTGGGGGACTCTTTTAGATTCAATTTGTTCAGCATCTCAGAGACTTTAAACTCAAGGTTTCCTGGGATTTCCCCAGGGCCATCCATTTCTGTCCCTCCTGAGTCTGGCTCAAGGGCAGAAAACCTCTTGTTGCTGCCTCGGTGCTCAGACAGGAAAGTCTTCACCTGCAAGGACACGGGGAGCTTGCTGGGTATGGAGGTGGGAGAGCAAGAGTAAACCCAAAAGAGTCTCTTGGACCACAATCTGTTGCCTGGGAATTCAGGGATGGGGTGGAGAAAGTAGGGATGAAGCCCAAGACATAAAGAACAGTGGTCAGTGGGGAGTCACTGAGTGGCCAAGGGAGCTATATGGTGCCATTCCCACCCAGATCTCAGGTGGAGGTTGGAGTTGGGCACTCACTTTGAAGACTGCAGCATTCATCTTTGTACAATTTACATCTCTTTTCTCTACCAGGCATAAGACTTCTTCAGTATTTAGTCTGCATTCTGGAGAGAAGGCAGAGTGTGTGGCAGGTGAGCAAAACTTTTTTCCCAGCGAAAGCCCCCTGCAAACAGATCCAAGCCTACCTAACTGCAAGCTAAATGGCCAGCTTACCTTGGAAGGGAGGCCTGTCTTTGGGCTCATGGCTCCAGCAGTGCTGCATTAGCTCCTTCAGTTTTTCCAAGCCAGGAGTCTCAGGGTCTGGCTCGGCCAGCTCAGTCAGTGGAGGCCTGATCTGCCTGTCACACATGGCCCCCTGCACCAGCGATGTGTTGGTCACTGCTGGGGTGGGGGTGGAGGACATGAAGAGAAAGCATTCAGGGTATAAGGGGTCACCTGCTCCATCACGTAAAGGGGCAGGGAGTGTAGTCCAAGGGAAGGTGAGGAAAGACTGGGATAGTCTGAGCAGGTAAGCAGGAAGAAGAGGGTTTGGGGCTTTTAGGAAAAAGGCATCTGAGATTAAGGATCCCAGAGCCTGGCTAAAGTCTTACTCTCAGCTTCTCTTCCGGCTAGCACTGCCCACATTAGGATCCCAAAGCTGCAAGAGACACAAAGTTGAGGCCTTGCCCAACTGCTGATAAAACTCTTTTCCCATATACCTTCCCTCAGCAGGGCCCAGAGAGGTGTAGAAACTGGAGATGTGTGTTTGGCATGGGGACCTTACCTGTAGACATCACTGGCCCTAGAGGCCTTCCGGTTTACATCAGCCAACAGTTCTGGGGCCAAGTAGGCTAGGGTACCCCCTGACTCCCCAGATCCTGCCTTTGACTGTGAATCTCCCAGAAACTTGGACAGGCCAAAATCTGCTAGCTGCAAAGGGAGGGAAGAAGGAGGAAGTAGGGGATGGACAGGGCTAGGCAGCTTCAAAAATCCCCTTCTCTACCCCAGAAGATGCAGGTCTAGCCTTATAAAGGGGATGTGGAGGGTTGGGAGAATGGTAGGACCAGCGAGGTCCTTGGTTTGGAGGTCTAAGTTCCCTCTCCTTGGGGCTGGGTCAAGGTCTGAGTTTTCTGGGCTGTCAACCATGGGTCTCTGGAGGGCCTAGTGGGGTGGGCTTATAGAAGTGACCATGTCAGTCAGGGCCTCTATCACTTGGTATGGAAGGGGCTAAAGTTCCTGAGTGTGCCTTGACACTTGAGCAGCCTGTGTCCAGTGGGAGATGCTGAGGGTATTTAATAGATAGGGCTGCAACAGCTGCCGTGTCCAGTGGTGGGGGTTGAGCAGCTCTGGGACAGAACCTTGTCCAGAGGCTGGGCTGGGGTGTGGATGAGCTGGCTCACCTTGGCGTGCAGGTCTGAGTCCAGCAGGACATTGGAGGGCTTCAGGTCCCGGTGCAGAAGCACTGGGTTCTGGCTGTGCAGATAACACATCCCAAGCACTATCTCCTGCAACAGGCGACAGAGAAGTGGCCAGGGCCGTGGGCACTGGGGCAGCAGCAGCCCTGTCAGGGAACCGTTCTCCATGAATGGAGTCACCAGAGCCGGTCCAGACACGTAGTCCCACTCCAGCTTCTCAGTGACCCCCAGCAGTGGCAGCACATACAGGCTATGCAGATTTGCCATGGCCTTCACTTCTTTGGATATCTTCTCCCTACACTCCAAGCAGAAAGCTGTAGTCATGCTCTGCTGCTGGGCAGGGCAGATCCCTTCTCTCCCCATGCGACCCAGCAACACAGCAGCCTGCTCCTTCTTCCTGCAGACACCAACACCTGCCAGCCTGCAGCTGGGGCACTCACGAGTTCACAATCTTGACGGCCACATCATGACCCCAATTCTGGTGGTATGCCTGGAACACTGTGCCGAATCCGCCTTGACCAATGACCTTCTGGTTCTTCAAATCTTCGATGGGCACCATGGAGGCTCGGGCACTGTTGAGCCTGAGAGAGGGGCCTCGTTCACCAGCTGGCCATGGCCCCAAGTTCTCACTGTTCCCCTGCAGCCCCCTCCCTTCTCACCGTGACCCCCTGTGACTCGGCAGGTGTGGTAAAATCTGTAGCTTCCCCCATGGACCCTACTCTCTCCTGGCCTTGGCTCAGGAGCAAAGGTTGTTTTCTAAGCGACTCAGTGGCATCCTGTGTCCGGTCCCCACTCACCATAACAACTGGCCAGAAGACATCAGGCCGAGAGGTGCGAGAGGCTTCTGGAAATCGTGAGTCCAAATGGATGGAGTGACTTCTGGGAGTGGGGTTTGTGGCAGAGAGGTGTCGGGGGTGGGGAGAGGGGTCAATCTCTAGGCCCCTGCACGGATTCTGATTCCGCTTCCCACTTCCTGGTGCTCTGCCTACCCCGAGTGACTGAATAACTAACTTCCTTATTAGACAGGGCCTTTACAGTCCCGCCCCAAAAAGGGCGGGGGATAGGGGGTGGGCAGAACGGAAGCTTAGTACTAATCTTTTCTTACCAGTTTTTTCTTGAGTACCTGCTGCATGCCACAGCCTGGTTAGGTGTCACTGGTTGTTTAGGGTGCCATGGAAGAAGTCTTTACCTTCCAGGAACTCATAATCAACTCACCCCTACAGCCTGTGTCTCTCCCTTCCCCCATAAGATTCCCAACTACACCACCTGCCAGACTGGGTTGGGGGTGGGATGGTACTGAGGAGGATTTCATGGTCCTAGAGATCAGCTCTCCCACAGCTGCCCTTAAATCATAGCTAACACTTCTATAAAGCTTGCCATGTGCCAGGTACATATATGAGCTTACTTAATTCTTAAATCAACCCCAAGGGCATAGGTACTGCTTTTATGACTTCTTTATGAATGAGAAAATGGAAGCACTGATAGTTTACCTTGCCCAAGCCAGTGTGGCACTGACTTCAGAGCCTGTCTTTCCTGTTTTCACATCAAGTTTTTCTATTCTCACATAGGCTTCAGGTACTGCTGTTTTGGAGCTGGCGGTGAAGGTGACTGAAGAAGGTGCAAGGTTCCTGTGTGATGAAGTGATGAAGCATTCCTATGCATTCCTGTCTGGTCCCTGACAGCTGCTCTCATTGAGGTAAGCCCCTGGCATTGGTAATTTTCTGCTGTCAAGACCAAGACCCACCGCCAGGGCATTGTGGTCAGCTAGATGAATGGCCCAGCCAGGGGATTGATGGTGTACGCTGCAGTAGAAACACCTCAGGGCCTCCCTGCCCTCTCCCCACTTTCCAACTGTCCATGCACATTACCTGGTTAATACACATTCCTCACGGGCATATGCTCTGAACAAGGGCCTTTCAGAACTCGGGAGCTTGGGGAACCTTAAGGATTTAGGGCAGACAAAAGGTTATTTTGCCCATGCAAGACCTGGCTATGGCTGGAGATATAGCCAGCGCTGGGCACTCAGTCCTTCAGTGGAGACCCAATCCTGTGGATTGTGTGCCAGCTCCCACTGGAAGGTGCTCATCTTGATATGCACTTTCCATTCTATCCAGTGGTCCATGGAGCACAAGTAGCCAGCAGTTAACTGTGGTTTTTAGAGCAACTGGGAACCCCAGAATCCACCTCATGAATTTTGGTGGAGTCAGTCCATGCTATTTTGGAGCTATTTAGGGAACTCTTTAACTGTAGTCTGTTTAAAAGCCAGTACATGGTAGGCACACAATAAATATTTGTTGAATTGAATTAATAAATGAACAACCAAAACTTCCGGGGCTTTCTTAAGACTCTGATCATCCCAACTAGAGCACCATACTCATTGGGAGGAAAAAGAGGTTGGGCTTCTTTATGTTTTAGGGGATCTCACCTGCACAGTCGACAGAATCCATCTGAAGTAGATTTTATTATAGAGACACGGCGGTACATCAGAGAATATGAAGGCAAGTGTAGCATGTCCTTAAAAAAATCTAGTCAGGACCTAAGAGCCATCAAAGAGGGCAGCCATTTCTTTCATGATTCTCTTTTGGAAGAAGACCCTGGGCTCAACGTCTGGGCTCCACTTGAGGGGAGCAGGCAGAAATGAGTTAGAGGGGTGTTTAAAGACCTTTTTATGGCTGGATTTCTTTAGATTGGGACAAGACCATGAGAATCAAGGGTAAGACACCGTAAAGCATAGGGTTGGGAATAGTGTCAGAATCTGTACTCAAAATAAACCAAGCTACTTTTAGAAAAGGAGGGGCAGGAATGGGAGCCTGGAGTGAGTACCTGAGAAGACCCTCTCCTTCTGGCAGGAGGAGACTGGAGAGGCAGAGTCGATTCCTAGAGTTTGAAACTCTGGCCTTTCCTGAGGCCTGATGCCCTTGACCCCAGCTGTCCCAGGCTTTTGGAGTCTATTTGGGTGTCTGTCATCCCCTCGGTTCTCTGCTCCTAGTTGTCTTTGCTTACCTTCAGCCTGCTCCTGGTATGGGCTCTGGTTCCCTATCCTTAGTCATTGGGGGGCAGAGGGTGTGGTCTCTCTTCTTGCATATTCTAGCTCTAACAAATTCTCATGTGTTGCTTCATTAAGAGATTCCAATTGTAGACTGAGTGGTGTTAATTAAGGTGACAGCAAAAAGGATTATGGAGAATTTTCATTTCTGTAGTGTTTGAATATTTTATATTAGCATATATTGCTTTTCTAAACAGTTAAAGAAGGAAGAAGATTGTGATGTATGTAAAGTTTTAGCTATAATAATATTCACTGAAGTGTTGTTTAAAATAGTGAAAAAAAATAGAACACTAAATATCCAATGATAAGAAAAAAATTGAATAAATTATGCAATGGAAGACTAAGTAGCCATTAAAATGATGCTCTAGACCTGTATTTATTTATATGACAGGTGTTTATCTTCTGTCAAATGGGGGAAAAAAGCAGGTTATAAAATAGTACGTACTGTATAATCATTTTTCTGTTTTAGAAATTCCCTTCCGGTAGTATGACAGAGTTCTCAAAAGCCTCCAATAGCAGAATACTTAAATGCTATATAAAGCACAACAAACACATATTTTAAAAATTCCTTTGTGAGCTCCCCTAAAATAAAGATAATCTCCCAAGAGCATCTCCCTGAAACCCACAAAATAAAAAAAAAAATACAAAACAAAAGATAAATAGTAAGTAAACAGAGAGGTTAACTAACTAGAAACCTAGAGCTTTGGGGACTGTATAGGGGCATGGGAGGTTGGGAGACAGCCAGAGAGTAAGCCCTAGGGCCTAGGGAGATGGAAGAGCTAAATGTGAGACACCCTTATTCCCCGCAAAGCTAGGACCCTCAAAGAAGCTGCATTCTTAGTGGAGAGAAAAAAAGTCCACCTGCTTGCAGAGGGAACCTACAAGGATACCTGTCCAGGCTGCAGTACAAGATGTTAAAATTAATAAATGTTAGTTTCCATGTGAGACCTACTATCTTTCCCTTTGATCAAATAAACCATAAGCTGAAAAATTTAAATGGACCCAGATTATTAATGCCCCCTGGAATCCAGCAGAAGCAAATGAATCCTCCTGAAGGAGAGCGTCTTCAATCCAGCTATCTGGATTAAATTCAGCCAAATATAAACTCACAAAAAAATTACTGAGTATATAAAGATTCAAATCTCTATGAGGAAGAATTAGCAGGAACAATAATCAACAGGTTTAGATGTTTAAGGACTTCAGAGTTTGTAATAATCAGATGAAAAATCTAAAGAAGCTATTGTGAAATGTTTAAAAAATAAAACATGGAGTAGAAAAATGAATAAGGAATAAGAGATTATAAAACATGCCCAAATAGATTTAGGAAAAAAATAGAATATCAAAAAATGAAAAAACGTATATCCATTGATATTAAAATTGCAATGCTTGCTTAAATAGAAGATAGAGCTGAAGAAAGAAATAGTGTGCTAAAATGGATATGAAGAAATTTCCTGGAATGCATCAAGGACAGACGAGCAGACAGAAAAATTAAGAGGCAAAGACTAAGGAGGTCTAACAATTATCAAATTGGATTTCCATGAGGAGAGAAGAGGAAAAAAAAAATGGGCAAGGCAATATTTGAGGAGAAAATGGCTGAGAATTTCAAAAATTAATGAAAGGCAAGAATCCACAAATATAGGAAGCACAATTTATACTTAGAATGATAAAAATAAAGACATCTACATCTAGATACATTTTAGTGAAACTGCAGAACAATCAAAACAAAAAAACAATCTCAAAGGCTAGAGAGAAAACATAGATCATCTATAAAGGAACACAACTAAACCAGTAGTACACTTCTCAATAGCCATAGTGGAAATCAGAAGACACTAGAATGATTCAAACTGTTAAAAAAAAAAAAAAGAAAAGAAAAAAATCTGTAAACAAAGAATCATATACCCAGAAGAGTTATCTTTTCAAGAACAAAGGTTAAAAAAAAAAAAGACATTTTTAAATAAATGAAAACTGAATTTACTCTACTGTAAAGGAATTTCTAATGGGTGTGCACCAAGAAGATAAAGAAAACTTACTCTAGTTAGAACATGTGAAATGCAAGAGGTAACAGCAGTTTTCCAATAAGTTCAAAATGAATTAGCATCATATTAAACCTATAGAAACGAGAGGAGGTGACTCACTGATTTAGAAAAGGATCTGCTACCAGCAATTCTGGGTATATACCCGAAGAAATTGAAAGTAAGGACTCAAGCAAATGTTCGTACACCAATGTCTATAGCAGCATTATTTACAGTGGCCAAAAGATGGAAACAACCCAAATATCTATCAACAGATAAATGGATATATACAAAATGTAGGTATAAATACACACACACGTTGGAATTGGGTCCAGAACCATTAGGATCCCACCTACTGTGGCCCCTGCTTCTCTATTCCCCTTGGGGTTCTGTTTTTGGAAGTTCTTTCCAGTGCCCAGGGCTTGCTTTTCTCCTTTAGCATTCCAAGCAGGTCGAAAACCCCCTTTGACTTGATTTTACTTAGTGAATCTGAGAGACTGATGCTTTCACAAAGAAGCACACTGCCCACTTTGCTCCAGCAAAGTGGAATCCTTGCTCACTATCTGTTTCTTCACAGAGAGCATTTCAGAGATGGGTTCCATTGGCAGAACCTAAGTTGCCTGTCTGTACATCCAAGGCAAGGGAAGCCGAGAAGGGTAACTTCTTTTTACACTACCTTAGCATGAGGGGACTAAAACGATTTTGAGCAGCCGTAAATGATAAGTATCCACATACATGCTACAACAACCATAATGCACATTCTCTCAGTGTAGAGTTCTTCTCTCTTTGCTTTCTGTATCTAGTTAATGTTGAAGACCTAATTTCTGTGCTTTCCCATCTCCTCTCATCTTAGTGGGGCAGGCTACTGCTTCAAATTGCTTCCCCAGATGGATGTTCCACTTTTTTTTTTTTTTTTTTTAAATAGGGAGTTGAACCTAATGGTCAAAGGTACAGGCTCTTAAATCAGACTACTTGGAATTCAATTCTGGCACTGCAAATTATTAGCTGTTTGACATTTAGCAAGTTACGTAACCTCTCTGAGCTTCAGTTAATTATAGTACTCACTGAAATGGGTTGCTGTGTAGATGAAGTAAAATAAGGCATGATAGAACACAGCACATTTCCAGCACATATTATGTGCTTAATAAATGGTAGGCATTAATATAACAACAATTATTGTATTTCCAATCTCAGGAACATTTCTAGTTCTCAATTTATTTGTAGAGCAAGAAAAATGATTTAACTACTGCTCAGTAAAATAACCAGTTTTCTTTCTCCTGGTAGATTCCCATCCCCACCCTTCCTCCCAGGGCCCCACTAATGATTCACCCCTCAGGTATTCTCTCTCCTCTCTCTCAGACAAATGTACTGAGAGAGAGATTTGAGGAAGTCAGTCATGTCCTTTCTTGTGGTTTTGAGGAGAGATGGCTTGAATCCTTGTTGCGAGCAAGAAAAGCAGCTACTGAAGTAACACCCCTAAACTTGTTTGTGTCTTTCCACAATGCCAGGGTTATTGAGTGGACCCTTCTCAGGTACCTACCTCATGCAGGTAACACACAACACACAGAGAGGGGAAGTACTGAGTTTTATGTGACAGAGTGAAGGAATGAAAGTCCTTGGCATCTCCAAAGTGAGCTC